TCTCGTATCATGATGTAACCCTGTCAATTGTTCTGGCCACTGATCTTGTAGTTCTTCATAAGATTGCACCATTGTTTTCATGATGATGGTACAATAATATGAATGAATGATCTCGGTTTTACTGTTACAAAACTTTCCATGAATTATTTACATGTTTGTATAATTAATGTATATAACAATACTTAAATAAAAAATGTAATTTAAATGCGAAAAATGCATAAATGCAAAAATAAGAATGCAAACTGTGCAATGCATAGATGCAAATATAAAATGAAAATGAAAATGAAAATATAGAAATGCAAATGCAAACATAAAAGTATGAATGCAAAATGAAAATGCAAAGATGCAAAATGAAAATGCATGTATGAAAAGGTGTTACTCAAGAGTTATCATCTTAGAACAAATTTCATTGAACACAAAAGTTTTGGTGCATCAAACAAAACTTTTACATGTAGGGGATAACTTTCACTCCTAACTTCTCTATTTCCCTTAAAAGCCAAATTAACTTCCACTCATGCTCATGTGTGGAGTTATCAATCTGCTTTAATTCTCTCGTGAAGCCAGTTAAGTCTACCAGCTTATGAGCCACATTACTTGTTTGAACAACAACTTCCTTCATGACATTGTCTTTTTCCTTCATCTTTTGTGTCAACTCTCGGAGTTGTAAACAATTTTATTCATTTTTTCTTGTGAGAGAATCTTTATGTTCAAGAAGTTCTCGTACAAGATTTCATAATCATCTAAACATTTCTTCAATGTCTTGTTCTTGGCTATAGTGGCTTTTAATTCAATATCAATCTCATGTTGATGGGTCTGATATGATGCTTCCATGTTAGTCATAGCACTATTCAATATTTGATTTTTGACTTGACATCTTTTCAATTCACTGACATATGTATTGTGTCTTTCTTCTGAAACTCGTAAATCATGAGAAAACTTCTTGGCTCGTCCTTCATTTATGTTGCAGTTCTTTTTTAGTTTGGTGACCACTGTTATCCACTCTTCTGGGGTATTTCCTATGCCAGCATTTTGAAAGGTTTGACTGACCTTCTGGAAATCTTCATGCATGGTTTCCATTTTGGTGCTCAATTTATCGTTTTGATCCTTCAAATAACATGCTTGAGCTTCATAAAAACCTCCTTTATTCTGAATGCCCTGACTGATACTTTTACCAAAGAATAGTTTTGGTATCAATCTAACAGGATCTTTGTATGCATAGCTCGCTTCTATCCTCAGAGTTTCCTCAGGATGTATTTCTTTGGTTGTGTCATATTTTGTTTGATCATAAAACTTTTTGTCCATTTATGAAAACTTTCCAATTTGATGAACAGTTTTTCGAATCAACACCTTTTGGTTATGCCATGATCATGCAATTAAAACAAAAGAAATTAATATAAACAAGTTAGAGCAAAATAAAAATGAGAAAGGAAAAAATACATTGGTTAGTACCAATTAATGGAAAGAAAAGATTCTATCTATCAAGGTATAAATCTTAACCTCATGTTTTCCAGTTCCATGCTTTGTTTGGAAAAATTAACCTAACCGTATGATTTCTAGTTCGCATGCATTTATTCAGAAAAAAGAAATGATATCAAATAAATTAACACCTAAAGCTTATTTCTCCTTTCTGTACACCTACGGACAAGGTTTCAATATTGTCTTAGATCAGGAGAATTTCTAGGGTTTATTATATGCAAGGTTTCAGTTCTAGGAGCAAAGGTACTCGAACTGTCCTTGTTGGTGCCCCCTTGGGCTGCCAAATCCTCAATCCTAGTCCATTACAGACTTAAGTGGATCGAGTTTAATTCGAGGGGACACATTTCCCTATGCCTGACACGGAGAATAAATTCTCATGAAGACATAGAGCATATGAACCCCGAAAGTTACTTGCTAGATCTGACACGGAGAATAAATTCTCACGAAGACGTCGTTTTCACTCCAACTTAAAAGGGAAAAATCTCAAGTATAAAGATTATGTTTATGCAATGTATGTGTTGTGTGTGATGAGAAATATTCAAACCTCTGACAAAACAAATAAAAAATGAAATTTAATATCTGAAAAGAAAAAAAATATATGTACATAATAAATATTATGAAAATCATAAGTAATAATAAAAAAAAATTGAAAGAAAAGAATTATAAATTAAATAAATATGAATTTTTAATTTCTAATTGATAGAGACAATTTATAATTGATTTTAAAGCTTGACCAAGTCCCCAGCAGAGTCGCCAAGCAGTCGTAACCGATTTTTGTCTGGGCACGAATTTTTACTTGGCGGGAAAAATAAAATGAATAAATAAATGATTTTGATTTAAAAAAATGTTTTGGGAGTCGCCATTGACCTTTTTGGGTTAGGTAGGTCAAATACCTAAAACAATTTTTTAAAATAGTTTTTAAGAAAACATAATTTAAAAGATAAATTGATCTGCGTATAACCAAAAATTCGTTCTTTTTAATAATAAAAAGGGATTCGTGGTCGGTTACGTTTAGGGAAGGATTAGCACCCATATAACGCCCAAAATTGGTATCCATTAATTATAAATTGTCTCTATTATTGGAAATTTAAGAATTCAAAGATATATTTAATTCATAATCCTGTGATTTCAAATTTATTACTATAATTTTAAGAAAAATATATTAATATCTATATATTTAATATATATTTTTTATACTTTTATAAATAAGATATTTATTTACTTAGAAATATCAGAAAAAAGACTTCTAGTTGCTTTAAGACAACCCCTTTCTTAATATTAAAAAATAAATAAATATTAAAACATGATTAAAATAATTTATATATTAAATTAAATATATATTTTTTATAAGCATGATATTTATTATTTTTAAAATACCAGAATAGGACATCTAGTTGTTTTAAGACTTCCCTTTCTTAATATTTAAAAATAAATAAATATTAAAATAATTAATCAAATAATAATATATATTAATATGATTAAAATAAAATAAATAATAATAATTAAAATATTGAACTAAACATATAAAATTAAAATATAACTAAACAATGACTAAAATAAATAAAATTAAAACTATAGTATTAAAATATAAAAAGTAATGAAAGTATTAGTGATTAAAATATAACATATTAAAACTAAATGGCCTAATTCATAATTATTATTTAAAATTATAGGGGCTAAACATGCTATTTTACCTTATTATTAATTCTGTGACTAAAATAAACATATATCAAATTCTAATATTAAATTAAAATAAATTAAAACATGCTTTCGGGATTAAAATATTAACTATTAAAATTAAAGGTCTAAATATGTTATTTTACCTAAAATATATATATTTATGTTAATGATTAAATTATAATAAACTAAAATTCGAATACCAAATTATAATAAATAAAAACATGCTTTAAGGATTAAATTGCAAAGTTATAAAATTACAGTGGCTGCGGGAATAGTTTAGCCAAGGGTGGAATTACACAAATGTTCCCTCCCTTAACGACATCATTCAAAGGAGGGTATAAATACCCTGTTATACTCGGCCTTAAGGCCAATATTTTTTATTTCTCATTTCTCGTTCTCTCTCTAAAAACGAGAGAGAGATTTCTCTCTCGCCTCTCTCTAAAATCCTCCAACCAGAGGAAGGTCGATCGACGGTCGACAACCGTGCTCCAGCGTCGATCGTCGCCGCCGACCACCGTACGTGGTGGCCAGAAATTTTCAAAATCCCCCAAATCGAAGCTTATTCGATCCTCAAATCGAATCCACCCTTATTTACCCCTAAAAATCTCGTAATAGCTCCAGATCTAGAATAAACCGAAGATTTCCTTCTGTTACTGACAATTCTCGGTGACGTTTGGGCTCTCCGAGGGGTAAGTTCTTCTCTCCTTTTTTTCCCTTTATTTCTGTTGTGTTGTTGGTTGTGCTTTCTGCCCTTTCTTTCCTTTGCATGCTCGGTGGTGTCTTTTATAGCCACCATAGTGTCTTCCTCGGACTGGTTAAAGGAATGGCCCTCGGTGAGTCACCGAACTATGGTGGTGACTCACCATAGGGTAGCAACGTGGACGGCGTCTTTGAGTCTTCTGGAGGCTTCAACTAGACGTGGCAGTAGCAGCGACGTCGACGTGGAGGTAACTGGCTTCTGGAAAGCTCTGCGAGGGTTGAGTTGTGGCAGCAGCGGCGGCGGCGGCTGGCAGTGGAAACGACAGCTGGAGATAGGGTGATGAAACCCTAGCAGAAATGTGAAAACCCTAATTGGGTTTAGGGTTCTATTGGGCCTTTTGGGTCAGATCCAGTTTTGGGCCTCCAGGTTTGGGTCTCCTGTTGTAATTGAGCTCCGATTTTGAGCCTGTAATAATGTTTGTAATTATTTATTATTTAATAATAATAATAATATAATAATATTAATATTAATAATAATAATAATAAAATAAAATAAAATAAAATAATTATAATAATATTTATAATAAATAAAAATATAAATAAAAACAAATGGATGAAAAAAAACTAGTATCTTCAGATAAGCCTTCACATCTTAATCATAGTCCTGGCAGATGCATATGCTTTGAGAGTTTGAATGGTTTCTTTCCGAGGCTGAGTGAGTTAGAGGCTAAATTGCATATTTTTTCCATCATTATTTGAAGTTGGACTTCCCTTTTTGTCTTCGAGGTTATTGCCGGCACTTTAAAACGGTTGCTCCAAGCTTTGTATTTTTAGAGTTCAAGGTTTCAGTAAAAAATATAAGAGTCAAACAGCCTATCTTGCATGGCAAAACTGTGTCAAATCAATTCCATTAATGCATCACATCAACATTTTACCAACCCCTCGACCCATCTCTGATCGCCACCCTCGTTAAAAGAAAAGCATAACTTATTATAGAAAAGAATTGTTTAAGCTAGAGCAAGTTTAGTTGACATTTGAACCTCGAATCTCCTAAATGTGAAAACCTTGACAAACTAGAAGCTATAAATATTCTATCCCATTTAGGGAAGTCAACTCTCTTTTTTTTGTATTTGGGCAGCAAATAATCAAGCCAGAATCCACATGAACAAGGTAGACCAAATTGTGAGGGTGAATGCTGCTATTACGTAAGTCCACAGCATTATCACTGAAGTCTCGCATTGACCAAGCTGAAATTTTTGGGTCATGGTACCTGCCAATGTTCATTATATTATCAAATCAGCATAAATATGTTCAAATATTTATGTTATGTTTGTGCATTTTAGTCATAGTATAATCGTATTTAAAGTGCTACATACTAGTTCCTACTTATTAACATATAGATTTCGACTTAATCCTTTGTGATGTTACAGACATTACCTACTGATATTGCTGGTGGAACAGCAAATTGAAGCAGAAGAACGAAGTGATATAACTTATTTTCTGATGCGATCAATCCCAAATGGAGAGCTGCTTTAACAACACCGATCCCTATTAATGGCAACAATATGTTCCTCACTCCTATTATCCCTATTATCACAGTTCTACTCACATCCGATCCATTCAGACCTGCAACAAAAACCATGTACATATATCAGTTGATTTCGTATCCGATTTTTAAAAAATGAAGTAAAAACACAAACCTCTCGAAAGATTGCCCCCCATGATCAAGGTCATACATGGAATTGCTGTCTCCCTGCATTTAACATCATTTTTATTTGTAAATGAAATGAATATATAGAATGTAAAAGGAAGCATTCATACCCTAATATATATGCAGAGCTGTCGACTACACGAAGTGGAGCTTCATTTCCGATCAGTAGTTTTCGGATCGGAGATGCTATCCCGATTATAAACCCTACAATCTGTGCATACGATTATGATACGTAAAAAGAAATACTATATGAATATGAAGGATTTCATTCTTAGCATACCGCTGCAATTGCTGTTGGTGCAAACACTTTCTTTAGGTCAACCTTTTCCGAAATGCTCTTCATTCGCCGCATTATTTTCTTCCAAGCTGACAACTATAAAGAGACGAATCTTAAAATTAAAGCTTGACATTTAGATGAAAAAGGGAACAGAAACAAACCTTTGCGATTGTTCCATTGAAACTGGTGGTAAGTAGAGGAATACCGTCGACGTCAATTGATGGAAGAACATCTAATTCAGTGCAACTTTCTGCAGCTGTTTCAGAAGTGGAGTCATTTTCTATGGTTTTATTTACATACAACCGTATGATTCCATATACATATGACCACATGTAAATTGCTCCAATCTGTATAAAGGTCGTTCCATCCATAAAATAATAAAATTAATAATAAAAGCCACAGAAATATATATATATATATATATATATATATATATATATAAGCGTGTGTGTGAATTTATACATAGAATGATACATACAGCTAAAGATAGTGAAGCATAAGACCTAGCATGTAAAGAACAAACAGATGGATCTCCAAATGGATTATTTGACTCCTCACACACTGCTGGAATCATAATCAGAGTCAGAGTCCCAACATTTCCTGTTCAAAATCAAAGCAAAATCTAATAAAAAAAAAGGTTAAACATAAGGTATAACATAGAGTTGAATATCTATATCTTTTAAAATATTTAAGTTTTATGTTAGAATAATAACCATTATTTTAACCACTTAAATAACTTAATTTGTGTATCTTAATTATTATATGTAAAAGTACACTAAAGTCTAAATAATGAATATTATAAGTTAATGTCCACATGGATTATAAATGATAAGTCAACAAAGAAATAATCGGACATCAAGTATTGTCATCTTTAACAAATTTACCGGCGGAACAGCAACCGATGACAATGGCCTGAAGGTGGCCAGGAGTTTTAGTGATTTTTATGAGAAGCCAAGCCAGTATTGAGCCGAAAATGTATGCCAGCAGAAGATTTAATGGCATGAACCACCTGATAACCCAAAATCATGAACAAAAAATCAACTCACTACTCTACAAATACGTATATCAGAGATTTATGGACAAAAATTTAAGAAAAGAAAGATTAAAACAAGGTGAACTAACAAGGTCATGAAACTCTGGAACGTGACCGTCTCAGCTGAGCTGCTGGCCGCAAGTGCAGGACTTAACACGTAGAATACAATCTATATATGAGAATAAAAATGTTAATTACTAAAGAAATTCGAGAATTGAAGACAAAAAGGGTTGATTTTTATGAAATTACATTGTTCAAATGGCGGTTTGGCTCAGACCCCAAGAGCTTTATGCGATCCGAAGCAATGAAGAAGCCAACTCCAGTCATCAGAATTACTTTGAGAACGGGCATTAGTGCCACAACGAAGAGATTTGCAAACCCCATTGGCCTGAAAATGAAGAATAAATTATACAATTTCTTAAATTCTTTTAGCAGCAACACCAGATATTTATTGCAACTCTGGATAATTTATACTTTTATTATAACATGGATAAACTACACATGGTCCTCCGACTATAAAATATTATTTTGTTGAGTCCTCAATTATTAAAAATTACAAAATGATCTTTCGACTATAGAGCCTTACTTTTTTTAGTCCCTCAACTATTAAAAATTACAAAAAGATCACCCGACTATTCATATGTTCCAAACTCATCATTTTTAGTTAAAAACAATGATGGTAGTCTGAGCTGGATATTAACTTGCAACGATAAAATCTAATCCTAAAATCTCAAAGGACTATCATATCACAATCAACATATCAACGTCTAGCTCAGATGACTATCAAAATTTTAACGAAAAATGACGAGTTTGAAACATATGAATAGTCAAATGACTACTTTGTAATTTTTTATAGTCGATAAACTCAACAAATCAATGATATATAATCGGGGATCATTTTATAACTTTTAATTGTCAGCGATTTAATAAAGCAATTCCCTATAATATAGAGACTATTTATGTACTTCACCCTTATAATTAAATAATTTATAGTAATTAGAGTTATATGTTTAAATGATAATGAGTAATAATAAATAATATTTTTTTACCTAATACCGGCTAGGTTTATTAGATATGAAATAAATCTTTATACAAAGTACACACAAATTACTAAATCTAAACTTATTGCGAGCTCTATCTTCATCTATGCTAGAGGGTTTTTTTTTTTTCAAATCTTACCAAATTTGATTTAATTATATTAGTTATTGAACAAAAAGTGGTACCAAACGAAAGCAAAATTAATTGAACTTAAACATATAATTGGGCAAAGTTTGGTAACTGTGGGCATAATAGAATGAGCGGTGGTGATCAGTGATGGTTTCATGCTCTAAATTCTTATATAATAATAAGTGTTTAAATTATATATATTTTTTATTTATGTATTTAAGTTTTTTTTGTTATATTTTTAACGTTATTGTTTAGGTGCTTACGATGTAACAATAGTTAAAAATAAGTCAACCAAACATGTGATTTATTTTTTTTATTTTTTTTTATTTTTAGAAATTCATAAATTTTTAAAAAACAACTATCATCACCATAAGCGACCACCCGCTCACTTATTGACCACCATCCAACCATTCACACATCGATTGTGATGGATATGTGTTGGAATTTAGGGTATAAATTTAGGGATTTTGGTTTATGAATTTTAGGGGTTTGAAGTTATGATTGAGGACCAGGGATGGTTGTGTAGGCGATCAGTGGGGGCGACTACTACAATGGATGCCCGACGAGTGGATGCTTTGTGATTAAGGATTTTAGAATTTTTTTGAGATTATTGAAAAGTAATAATAATTTTAAGTTTTTTTTAAAAAAAAAATTTTAAAAATTTATAAAGGCGTCTCATGTCACGTTCTAAGTGGTTGACTGATTTTTTCTAACGTATGTTACAATTGATGTAGTTAAACAATAACATTGAAAACATTAGAAACCTAAATTGATAAAAAAACATTTTGACACCTAAATGAGAAATTATGTATGGTTTGAGATTTTTTTTTGTATATATTAATCCTTTTTAGAATAATATATATTCAATGAACATTTTATAAAAGTTTCTATAGGCTGATTTATCGTATTCTTGTTATAATATATAAATCGCTTCATTAATTTTATTTTTTTAATTTATTTATATTTTATAAAGAATTAACTTTGATATGTTTAAAGATTAGTTTAACTTTGATTTTGAACATTAATGCATAAAATAATTTTTAAAATAGTATTTGAAGTTTGGTTTAAATATTTAGTTATTGTAAAAAATAATTTTTAAATAGATATAATATTTATTTTAAGGATAAGCTTTTTATCATGAATTTATATTTTATGTTTTGGATAGTTCTAGCAAGAATGACTTGGTGGGACGAATTTGGATTATTCTAGTGAGACGAATTTAATGAATTCATAGTCCATGATTTAGATGGACTTAGTAAGCCAAATTTAATGGATTCATCGACTTAAGAGGTTGAGTTTTACACTGTTAATGAGTTCATAGCTCAGGATTTAAGTAGTCAGTGTGAGATGAGCATGATTAATACACCGAATTGAGATTATGAACTATTAAATGTTATTAATTAATTCATATTTCATGTTTTGGGTGATCCAAGAGAAATGAATTGAGGAATTCATTGAATCTTAAAAATTGAGAGGTCGAACTTTTTAAATGTTCTTAATGATTTCATATTTTTAATTTGAGTGGTCTATATTGAGATAGATATGATGAAATCACCTACGTAAGTGTAAAGGATTAGTCGCCTTCTACGAATGACTTTGGACAATCTTTCTAAAGCACTTACCAACATCCTAATGCATATTTGACTAAATTTATTGATTCATCGCAGAACTTGTTTGTTGAAAAAGTTAGTTGTGTAACACCCTAAACCCGATTTGGCATAAAGTGTCATATTGGACTACCGAGGTAACCTTTGATTTTCAAGACTTGTTCATTTTCATTTCAAAACATGGTATGAAAATAAATATACATGGCATTTATACAACACTTCTATAAATCGGAGCTCCATGACACATTGTTTAAGACCAAAATAATACAAACTTAAAGTTTGATAAACCAAATACATGGTAAGGTTCTATGAATATACATGCCCACTAAAGATACGGTAAAATACTTTGAGGGAGGTGTTGGAAGTCCTACTATGACGGTGCTCCACGAACGGCTCAAGCTAATAACATACGAACGAAAAATATCCAAACGCTGAGCTTACAAAGTCCAGCAATATAATCTCTAATCTAGAGCAGCATTACGAGTCTCATCAACACAACCATGCTAAAGACATGGTACTATGCAATAGGTACATGCATGATCATAATCAAGTGCTACCTACTTATGGCTCAGTTGTTTTATCGCTGAAATAGGATTCTCATGATTCTTTAATCCTCAGCTTACGGCCTCGCCCTGAGTACAACTCTAATGGGTCTCTAACCATAATGACTGTAATTGATGTGAATTCTCTCAATGTGACATATGACATATTGTTATACATTATCTGAATGCGACACTTAACACACTATTGTGCATTATCTGAATGCGACACAATATTAGTATATGGTCTCACATATGCATTATGTAACACCCTAAGCCCGAATAGGCCTAAAGTGTCACAATGGGCCGTCGAGGAAACCCTTGATTTTCAAAACTTATTTATTTTCTATTCAAAACACACAATATGGTACAAAATCGACATACTCGACAGTTATAAAATATTTTATAAATTAAAGCTCTGTGACACATAATTTAAAACCAAAATAATAAAAATCTAAGTTATAAATATGAATACAATAATAAGGGTCCTATGAATACATATTCTCAATAAAGCTACAGTACAATGCTCTGAATGAGATGCTGGAAGTCCTGCTATGATGGTGCTCATATAGCGATCAGGTAAATCATGGAGGGGAACCTGGTGTCACATAGTATCGATACAATTCCTGCTCAATTTAAGCATTAGCTTGGTCTCAAAAAGTCATGAAGCCAAGCTCTAAGGGTATCTGATGTATTAGACTAATGCAACTATATCTAAGGGCCCAAAGGCCATACAACACTGACATCACTAACCCACTCTTTGTGAGTGTTCGGGCCTCTCACCCTCGTTAGCCACTAAAGTGCCTCGCTCATTGACAATTCCCCACTAGGGCAACTAAGGTAGTCTAACTACACTTTAGCATAGCTAGACACACTAAAGTGAGGTCACCCTTTCACAAGTTATTATTTTGCTTGTTCTCTTATCTAAGACGTTATGCAAGGGTTTATTAGTTTTTACTTCTACTAGTTTATTAAGCTTCTCTTTTATAGTCCTTCATTACTTAGGGTGTTTTACTCATTTCTATCTCTAAATAAGTATCTACGCATTTTGTGATTTTACGACGATTATTGTGTTCACTATTCGCTGTCGCCAACACTAGCTAGTTTGATACCCGACTTGGGTTCATTACTAAGTAGAAACTTTGTAATCACTCTTACTACACTTTTCCTCGATTTACCCTTGAACTGGGGGGACAATTATACATTCACCATTTACTGACATTCTCGCAGTATGCAACTACACTATTTCGTACTATGATTATTTTGTCATACTGTTTGCTGGTACATCATTTGTAATGATCTTTCATTCTTAGGTATTTGTTACGTGTTCAATTGAAAATGCTTAGATGCATTACGCCTACTATAACATATAATCCGGGGTGTTACAACTCTCCCTTCCTTAAAGTAAATTTTGTCGAATTTTACTTGAATCGAATAATGACTTATCCTTAGGTCACACATTTAGAAACCTTGGAACACCTAAACTCTTATCAAGTCTGATCATAAAGGAAGAATTCCTCGTAACATGGCATGTACCTAAAACTCTCAAAATCAATCTGTAATTTTTCCAAAAGACATTACCTACATCGAACCTTAAGCAAAAACCTTCAAGAGGCACAAGCCAAAAAATCTCACTCTTTTCGTCTAACATTGAATGCTCAAAAGGTTTCATAATGACAGACACTTCTCCTCGACTCATCTACAACCGTTGGACCCTTCATTGGCTAACTGATACATGCATCACAAGGCTTACATCAAAGGAAGAAGTAATAACTCTTCCAAATGATCCACTCATCCAAGCATTGGAAAAGAAGATCAGAACAGAAGCAGACTGTAACCCCCTAGACCCGGTCTGTGAGTTAGACTCAAACCTAAGTGGTCACATATCCCATTCAGAGGTTTTTTTTTAATATCTTACAATACATTATATTAATAATACAGATATGTCCAAAATTATAGCAAATACATGTCACCAAACATAACTGAAAAACATATAGAAATATATGTTCGTACAAAATAAGTAGTTGATTTCCACTGATGCCAAATCTGCTAGCTTACTGTCTGCTACTAT